TTATGTACCTCTTGGTATAACAACAATATTTGTTAGAGCAAACTTGCTGGTCATGAATATTCTTTAACAAAAGGAGCCAGGGGCAAGTGAAATCATCATTCATTGTATTTCATATTTGTACTTTTTGTAGTGGTTGTGGAATAAGGATGCTATGGAAAAAACACTTAAAATAAACACCTGAACAGTTTCACTTGAGAATCCCTGCTCTAGTAGTTTAAGGTATACACACCATAAACATAATTCTGATTTTTCCCTCAGATTGAGATGGGTTGGATACAGAGAGATTTGTACTTAGTCTAAAGTCCCCGTACTTTCCATGGGTGAACCTAGTCTCCCTATCCTAGTGCAAGAGGTCCAGTGGGAAGCCCCTCAATTTATGCTAATTCAGAGAAAAGAAATTTAAAACAAGAAATGGATACCCGAGGAGGCAACATGGCAGTCTGACTTAACATCTGACAGAAAAGGGTGGTGTAATATAATCTAAGGAGACTCCTGTTCCACCACACAGAAGATCACACCTGCTATACTAATAATGAGATTGTGCTCAAACACAAAGGTATTCTGTAGTGTGGTGAGATGTTCCCATTGTATCACACAGTGGACATATAATAGGCACAGTCATCCATTAATTGAGCTAATCCTCTTTCAAAGCCAAGTCTGGGCACAAGAAACCAGCTGAAAAGATCCAGACACTCCCACTGGCCAGAATAGTCAAGGAAGGCTATGTGCAGGGTCCAGAGAAAAAGGAAGCTGGCCATTAGGAATTGGGATGGTGCTATCCTTACCTCATTATTGATAGAATCCCATGAATTATGGAGATTGCATCCATGGCTAAGGAGGGAAAATGCTAAAACAGTTGGAGGACATAAGGAAGGCAACATTGTAAGAAAAAACTTGTAGCAGCATTTTGTGTCATTGGATACAACTGTGGGAAAATATGAGAGCTAGGGTGATATAGTTATTCATTTAGAATAAGAGTTGGAAGGGGATTGGAGGTCTTCTAGTCCAACCCCCTGCTTAGGCAGGAAACCCTATACCACTTCAGAAAAATGGATATCCAACATCTTAAAAACTTCCAGTGTTTGAGCATTCACAACTTCTGGAGGCAGAAGTTCTTGTTTCTTCTTTTTCTTTTTCTTTTGGAGATGTTTCGTTTCTCATCCAAGAAGCTTCTTCAGCTCTAACAGGATAGTGGGGAATGGAAGGATTTATATTACTTGCAGACAGCTGGTCATTTGCATCCTTTTAGAGGGTTATTGAAGGAGGTTTATTTGTGTCCTCAGGGTCACCTGAGTAGTGCTTCTAGTTCCTGTAGTCTGCAATTTTTCCTCAAAATTCTCTTCAAAAGAAAAAATAAGGAAGTCTAGTTGCCTCCTTAAAAAGCACCTTTGGGGCTACCATTTCTTATCTTTAATAGAGTTATCACTTTTTTTTTCAATCGCAGAAAGTCTGATGCCTTTTAGAATTGAGTGTCAACAAATACTACTTTCTTGCTCATTATCATCTCTACAGTATTTAGGCCCTCGCTTGGTGAGTATATGTGCTTATTTTAAAAGTATAAGAGCTTTGTCATTGTAAAACATGCACATAGATATAAGAAAAAACCTGGAGCATGAAGGGAACAAGGCTATTGATATGATCAGCTAGCAAATGAGTTAGTTCAGAATGGAGAAATGGATACTCTAAAGTAGAACTTTCCAAACAGTGGTACTAAGATTTGGTTTATTTTTAGAAGACACTCCAGGAATCTCTGTATCAGGCAATGTCAAAGTATCTTTTAGCTATCCTACCATCAACCAATGAAAGAGTCTAATGGCTTGAGTTGACTTGGCTAATTAGCAGTTTGAAGTTGGCCTAAATTTGTCTATGTTTATTTTTTTGCATCACCATTGGCCTGTTAAGGTAATCAATCTGCTGCCAACCCCCTCCCCAAAGGGGGATTTATAATACTATGCTGGCAGGGGATGTTGGGAGCAGAATTTCAAGGAGTTATACCACACTGGTATTCAGGGGAAGTTTGCCTGTGTGTTTTATAGTGGGGCCACAGATGCCTTTCTGGAGCATCTGATGATATTCAGGATCTTCTACAATGAAATATCCTTACATATACAGAAGAGGCCAACAAATCCCATATATTGCCAAAAGCCAATAGTTCCCATGGCATTTCTAGATAGTTTGGTGCTCACTGGAGGTAACTAATCAAATATATACTTGAGCTTTTTACAATTCACTCCCATGTCCATGAATGCTTAGGTGAAATTATCCAGACCAAATGATGTAACAATAAGATACGCCAGTGAAATAAGCATGGAGCTTACAGGTTTCACACTGCTGGCTAGAGCTACTGGAAATTGTAGTTCATTCGGAGACTCACAGGTTTCCCTACATTCAGTTACTTGCTTGATAGGTTGTATGATTGTCACCCCAATGCCTCCACTGTGGTATTTTACGCAGAGTTTAATTGCCATTATCATTACTCCTAGGCAGAGTGCTGATTGGGAGTGTTTCCCTCCAAGCATATTTTATGGGTGGTAGAGTGAGGGATGCTGTCTGTTCAAACATTACTTTGTCCTTTGAGAAAATGGTGTTTTCCTGTCATTTTGAAAACAATAAATATAAAAGTGCAGATGGACCAGATGCTTTAATATAGTGGTGGTGGTGGGAAACTTTAAAAAAAAATACATAGTATAGGAAAAGATACTGTCTTTCCCAAGTACTGTTGATACTGTGATAGATAGTCCTGTGAATGGGAAAAAGAGAAGATAATTATTGTCTCCCCAGATTCTCATTTTCTGTGGTCAAAACAAAGAGAAATTGTACCCCTTCTTCTTGGGAAAAAAGTGTCTGTAATGCTGAAAAGAAAACCTATCTACTGGGAACATAATCATCAACCAGGACTTTACGTGTCAATCTTTCAGGTTAACATTTATAAAGCAACAGATGGGCACCATATAGATTGCCAAGCTACTCCTCTCCCCATTGCCCTGTCATTCAATCCTAGAGAAAAGTAGAGATTATCTTTCTCTTCTCATTTCTGAAGCTGTGCTCTCTTTATAGAAGTTTAAATACAGTAATAATTAATACAAAGAGAATAATACAAAATAATAAATAATACAAGCATTTTTCTAACACTCATGGGGAGAAAGATTCACCAGCTCCACATGTCCAGCTAGCAGAATCCAAAATAAATTTAGGGGGCTCAGAATGGGGATATGGGCAACTAGCAGTCATTCTGCCTTTCAAAAGCTGTTACTCTACCTGTTGAGAGAATCAGCTCTGGAAAGAATAATATAATGTACAATTGGTGGAAATCAGTAAGGGGCAAATCAAATTCAAAACATGGCTTGCAGTTACAGTTAAGAGGGCAAGCCCAATTTGCAGATTTCCGGTTTGGATGTGATAATAAATTACAGTTTGCCACAAGCAAAGAAGTACATAATGAAGCAGAGATAAGGGGAAGCATTAGTCATTAAGTCAGACGGGGGTTTATGTATTACTCTAATTATGAGATTTGTATGGTTTTAGGGTAGCTGTGTGTGAATACACCACTATGGCTTGTAAGCCATGATTTATGGCCTCTTTGCTCTAAAGAATAGAACATGAGTCCTCTAACTATGGCTACATGCGGTCCACCAAAGCCATTACTCCAGCCCGCACAGGACCACGAGACTGCCCCATCCACATCGCTCCACCCATCCTTTGGCCGAGCGCTAGACTTGCCTTCATGATCCCTGTAGGCTGGAACTGAAAGGTAAGGCCAACAATTTTGGCCTGCAGAGACGTTCTGGAGGTGGAGAAGGTGAAAAATGGGATGCATGGATGCCCCAGGAGACCATAAAACAGGTGAAAATGGCACATTTCTGGCCAAAAAGTGGGTCTTTTGCCCATTTTTTTGNAAAATCCCCATTTCCTCCCGATCAGTTGGGACTCGGGAGGCAGAGAATAGATGGGGGTGGAGCTAGTCAGAGATGGTATTAACTGGTTCTTTCAACTACTCAAAATATCTGCTACCAGTTCTGCAGAACTTCTATTAGATGCCTCTACTATCAGAACTGGAAACCCCAAAGGATGAGGAACTAATGAGGTGGCTGCATTACTACAGACATCCTCCATTTGTTATTCCCATTTAACTGTTTCTATAGTTTTTAAAATGCTTTTAATATTTATTGATGAAATTTATTTTAAATATTTATTGTTTTAGCTTTGTTATATGCTGCCCAGTGCCCACTTGCACGTGAAATGGGCAGCTCTATAAGTTAGATAAATAAAGAAATTGTAAGGACTACTTCACTTTGCTCTTCAGTGCAAGCAGTTCCCCACTTTTTATTTAATATCACATTACATTTTATATGAAACACATTCACATATGAAGATGCTAATAACACCTTTGTGGTTAAAAATGTGTCATTACATATGTTTTTGCGAATGAACTTCAATCCATTTTATCAGATGGGCTGTGATCCACAAAAAACTATGCAAGAATAAAATGTTAAGACCTCTTTGATATTCTTATAGAAAGTACCGGTATATGAAACAAATATTTTACTTGCCTTTTTGCTTTCTGTTATCAGTATTATTGACAGGATCTAGGAAGAGGGCCTTTTATGCTGCTGCCCCTGCATTTTAGAATACCTTGCCCTCAGAGGTGAGGAAAGCCACCAATTTCTTGGCCTTCTACAAAGGGGTCAAACTTTGGCTGAGTAGCCTTGCATGGGGGACACAGTGGCCCACACAACCATAGGGATGGTTGGCCCCATGAGAACACCTCCCCCAAGCACCTGTATTCTAATCCCCCATCTTGGAATACTTCATCTTTTAAATGTTTTAAAATGTTTTATAATTAAAAACAATAATAATCCTAAATTTTTCTGATTGTAATGTATAATTTTACTGATTAAACTATACATACCCAGAGCCGTTCTTCTAGGAAGAGGGTCGGTTAAGAAATATGAACTATAAATAAATTAAATGAAAAAGAATGGCTTTGCAGAGTTACCTACTTAGTCCACATGATGCATGATTCTTTACTCTCTTCTGACCAAATGCGTGCTGTCCAATCCCCAACGGTCAAAAAGTTCTTGGGGTAGAAAGGATTTCTTGACAGAGAATAGATGGGGCCGTGGTGGCCACTGAACGTGCAGACAATTTTTTCAGCAGGTGTCTTTGCCTTGCGGTTACAAGAAATTACAATCCCTTGCTCTGTTCCCACCATGAATTTGGTTGGCTGTGAAAGGCCAATGAAACGTTACAGATTATTTACATGTTTGGAACTTCTATTTGCTTGACAAATAAAACTTCCTAAAAAGGAACAAACTGCCCATCTAAAACCAATATAAGCAATGAGATATTGGTGGATAATCAAAATTTGAGATGACTGACTACTATATCACACTGCTAATATATTCTAATACACCTTTAAAACCTTAAAATACTATAAGATATTTCATACTTTATAGTCAAAACATTTTTTCTATTGAGCTTTAAGATATTAGTACACATATTGCTATCCTTAGTTTCTGATGCTATAAACAAAAAACTTGTGGGAAGGACCGGGCCTGAGAGATTTGGATTGAGTAAAGACTGGACCATACAGATGTTTAGATTTACTGGAAGTCAAGTGTGCTATAAAACAGAACCTTGCAGGATCTGAATAAAATAAAGTTGAGATGAGGCCTGAATTGGAGATTTATTTAAATGAACTTGAAAATCTTTCTTTGCAAAGTCAATGTCTAAACCAGAAATTGCTGTAAAGACGCCATATCTTGTTTCTGTCTACTGAACAGCAAGATCACAGCAATGTAAATAAAAGCATGTGGTTTATATTCACATGAGGATTTGGTAGACAATATTTAATCAGAGAAATATATATGTTGAAGTCTGAAGGTAACATATCTGCCTTTCTTTATAATTAAAATGAACAAGTGAAATATATTTTAATTTATAGTACCTCCATCTGACCATGGATGAATACTACATTTGCTACAATATATTGGACTATACAATACTAACAGACAGAATGAATATTAAGAAGAATTTACATTGCTGTTGCTAAATTATGTTTAATGGTGTGTCAACACTGTGAAATTACCTTTTTCATATTGTTCTGTAGGACTCTAATATTGTGTTATTTAATAGAACATTAAAAATACAAGTGTAATTTTATCTTCCTTCAATAACTTTGAAAGCCTCAGCTTTGCAATACTTCTCTCATAAGCAATCCATACCAGTTCATTGGGGCATTGTTCTATCCTGCACTTACGTTATTTTTAGTTTTAACTATCACAGTCCGAACAAGGCAAATTGAATGAGGAGGGTTTGGAAATCAAAGACAAACCAAACTAGATTGCAGTGCTTCTTTTGATTAATCTTGCTTTGCAAGATTACACAATATTCTTTATTGTATGCATGCTATTCTTTATTATGAACACAATATTCCTTATTACAAAATCATGATTTTCCGTGACTTGCTACCAGTTCATATATTTTTATTTTATTTTAATCTTAATTCAATTTTATTTTTTTTCAAAGGAAAAAAGAACAGAGCTTTCATTATTGCAATTTCACTCAAGGTTGATATATATATATTTCCTGTTCTAGTCACCTATGCTTTTACTACAAACTAGGAATTATGATGGATATTCTACTGGCATCCAAAGCTTAAGAACCAATGAAAGATTTCAGAGAAAACAGAGAATATCCAACAAATACTTACCATTGTTGGCTCAAACTCCAATGCAATGGCTCCTAAAGCATTTTCTAGGATGCCTTTTCTACTGATATCCATAACAAGTGTCTCAGTGGGCTCAGATAGTTTACGAATGTCCCACCACAAAACCTGGCCAAAGAGAAATGCATGTTAACTGCTATTTGATTTCTTGAATTGGCCCATGTTTATGTGCGTAGCTTAAACTGAGGCGGCAACAATGTGATTGCATGAGAATTGTTTGCTATCCTGTACACACCTATTGATTTACTCAATTTTACACCTGGAACTAGGTTGAAAGCTGAACTTATTGTAGCCTATTGCTTTTAAGGTTGGTTTAATTATTTTCTACATGACTATCATCATAGATATATTTAAATTCACATTTTCAGCAGTCTAAACTTTAAGGAATATCGACTGTATAAAACTATGTCCTAAAATGTCCAATGTGGCTTTATATCCCACAATTATTCTAGAGTATTTTATGTGCTTAACAATTACCCTAGTTTTTACTTTAATTCTAAATTCTGCTATTATTCTCCCAGCTCAGAGCTTTGTGTGAAAATTTAATGTTTCATAGCTGAATAAATATGTGATGGATAAAGACACAGAAACTTTATTTACTGCACTTGGTGTGTACAAATCAGCTAGATTCTCCTAGACACTGGTATTGTAGGTAATTTATCAAATTATAATCAAATGCTGGGATCAAATTATTAACAAATGTCATTTGTCACCGAGTTAGCCAAGACTATGTAATGAATAATAAGTGCACAAGCTATTTTTAAAACAACAGAGCAAAGAGTCAAACTATTGCAAAGCAAAATGGCTCTTATTTCTCTGAGCTCTGGAACCATTGTTGCACATATTTTCTGATTAAAAGACTACCAATTACGTTACAGGTAATTATGACAAGCCACATGATCTATGCCTAGCTTTCTTCATTGTAACCTGTCCGTCAGTGGAGCCTGAGAAGCAATCGGTTCCTGTTTTTGATTGCAGCCAGATGGCATTATACACAGGATCTCGATGACTAAGCTCAACTGCAGTTAATTCCACGGGTAGTGATCCTTTCCGTGTGTCCCAGTAAGCTGAGGGATAATGAAAAACAATTGAGAAACATTATTAGTGTTTCATTTTTATTTTATTCATTGCAATTATTTTTAAATAAAAATAATTGAAAATTGCTTACAAGTAATACAAACAATTGCAGCTAAAATTGCAGTAAATAACACAGTAAATAGCAATAGCATTTAGACTGATATACTGCTTCACAGTGCTTTCCAGCCCTCTCTAAGTGGTTTACAGAGTCAGCATTTTGCCCCCAACAGTCTGGGTTCTCATTTTACCGACCTTGGAAGGCTGGAAGGCTGAGTCAACCATGAGCCAGTGGGAATCGAACTCTTGGCATTGAGCAGTGAGTTAGCCTGCAGTATTGCATTCTAAGCACTGGGCCACCACGATTCCTCACAGAAAGAAAAATCCTGGAATCGTCCTCTTCACACAGCTTTGAAAATAGCCTGATGGATCAGTAGCAGTGATGATGGCATGAAGAGCTCAGCTGAGCAGACTCCAGGAATGATCTTCACCTTTCTTCTCTACTACCCACTCTCAATCCTGTTATTTATTTCTTAAATTTATATGCCACCCATCTTGCCAAGAGGCGACCTGAGGTGGCTTATAACCAAGTAAAACCAAATAAAACACTAAATATTAAAATAATAAATATCAAGATTAAAATTTATTTTAAATTAACAAAGATTGCAAGGAAGAGAACAGGGTGTAAAAAAAGCCGTATTAAAACTGCCTCTCAGCTATCTTCCTTTAAAAATTATGTTAATACAAGTGTCAGGGCTGGAAGCCATCTTTTGCATTGGGCCTTCAGGCCTGCCACATTTAGTTTGAGGGAAAATGGGAGGGGGGATTATATGGAGTATGGCAGATATATAATCTAAATAACATTCCTTTGTCAGAGAGTCAAGGACAGCTTGCCCTGCACCTGGAGTGGTGTGACTGGGAGGCATCTCCAGTTGGGGCAGTGCCTGATTGGATCATGTGATGGACATGTACGTATTGGGCAGGGACTTGAATTTTTATTTGGGTGAGGAAAACCTGGAAACTTTTAGATTCAGGTTTTCCCAGATGTGCCAATATGACATCTCTAATAAAATGGAACTTTGAAGAAACTCAAGCCTCAGAGTCTTCTTTTGTTAGGGGTGTTATTTGGAACCCTGACAAGAAGTTTATTGCATCTGATTATTTCAGAATAACTACATCAAAACATGGAATGAAATTAAAAAAACATATGTCAAGATGGGACGGATAATTGTCACTGTTGGAGAGAATTTATGTGATCAGGTTGAATATTTTACCTAGTATATTACTTTTGTTTCAGACAATACT